GTATTTGCAGTCAACCTGGCTACTCCCCAGGGCTGATTTCTGCTGCTCTGCACTGTGCCACCTACTTGATTGTTCTGCTTGGACTCCTTTCACCACTTCAGGCTGGTTACCCCAAAGATCTGCTGACCTGGCTATTAGTTGATCTGGATTCTGCAGCTGCTGCCTCTGACATCTAAACAGCTCGGCTCTGCCTTCAGCAGTCTTGATCTGTTGGGGGTCAGATCTTTGCTGATTCATCTCATATGTTGGTGCCATCTCTGCCTTCTGCTTAGACCAGGGACAAGGAGCATCCTCTGTATTGTTGCCTGGACTCTGATATAGAGGTTAATGATGTAGCTCTTTTCTTTTTTTCATTTGCCTAGACAGCTGAGTTGGAATAGTCTCAAGTAATGACCACTGTATGTACCTAGAATTTCCCTTTCCTCAAGTGCTTTTCCTGATCCTGGCTCCTTGGGCTAGACTCTTCTTCAAGTGATTTCCATGTTAAGGCTCCTTGGTCTGCTAAGCAAATTTAAAGGAACTCCTTTCCAGTCACCACCACCTCATCCCTCTCCCCAGGTCTTCACACAGGCCTACATAGGTCTGAACCCTAATTGTGGATATAGTTTAAAATTTTGTCCCAGGGGCTCTTTGATCTCCAGAAAAATCAGTAGATGCACACAAAATCTTACTGGGGAAAGGGGGAGGGGTTATGACCCAATCTCACACTGGTTATGTCTCAGCCTTGGTTTTAGCTGGACGTTCTACATGAAATGATATCCCACATGTAGACTATGTACATTTAAATGCAGGAATGATGATGATGATGATTATAATAATAATCAACATTTCTCGAGGTCTTTTCATGTGCCAGGCATTGTACTGGATATCCTCTAAATAAAATATGCCCTATCCTATTTAATCTTTGCAATGATCCTGTGAAGTAGTTGTGGACTACATCAATGTGGACTACAGATAAGGACTCAAAAGCACAGAGGATGAGTAACTTACCTGAGGTTCTATATGACTGGATAGGGATTTAGTTTCAGGAAGTCTAATTTCTGAACCCACCGCTGTATCCCTGAAGGATGTGGTGCTTTATGAATGTCCTCTGTGCCAGGGTGTGGCGAGGAGGATTTCCTCCTGTTGTTTAGACACCCCCTGACTCTTCTTTCTATGGAGGTGAAAAGGCTAATTAACCTGGATAAATAATGTCTCATTAATCCATTTGCACTGTTCTAAAGAATTAGAACATGCGGTCATGGAGCGCAAAGAGTTGGACACGACTGAGCGACTGAACTGAACTGAAAAGAATTAGGACAGAGAGCTCCTAGGTCACTGTGTTAGTCCCTCCCTAAAACAGATCCTTTGAGGAGTGACTACTACCATTTTTTTCAATAATATTCAATAAACACACAGATATTCACTAAGCATGTTGCCAAAGGTGGCAGTCTTGTTTGCTTGTCTTTTACTTCTTCTAAGGTGCAAGGCAAATGTAACACTGACTAGTAATCAGAGGACTGCATTATTGATGTATAGTAAAATGCTAAGCAATATGATGTATGTTGTTATTTATTAGGTGGGTTAATGAGGAGTTGGGAAAATTGCCATCCTTTTATATCTATTCCTTTCTTTTTTCATGTCTCTACCTTTATCATTGAAGATAATAATGGCCATAACATCTTAGAATTATATCTAAGGAAAACATTCTATCTATCTGAAAATGTACACTGTGACAAGTTTTGTCAGTCAGCAAAACCAGTGGGCATTTTGGCCAGAATGCTAGGCACTTTTTGGCTAGTACCAGAGGAGGCTGGCCGGCAAAGACCTTGAATTTGAATTGGGGATACTGGAAATCATCAAGAGTTAATAGATGTGGGGGGTTGTGCTGCTAATTATTGGTGAAATGGAAGGACTCATCTGGAAGTACTTTGTTTTTCCCGTGTGCCTAACAACATTTCTGTTCTTTCTTTCTTTTTAAACTAATGATTTAAGTTTGTGACCTTGATAAACACGTGCTGTGCTTACTTTGGCAAAAGTCTGGAATTCACTACTCTCCCCAGGTGATACTTAGGATGATAGTTTGAATTCAGGTACAGAAAGGCAATTCTTAGCTATCTTTAATTATTAATTAGGTTAACAAGGAGAGAAGAAAATAGGCCACTGCTACTTGTATTCAAAGTGCTGTCAAATATAGAATGTGTCCCTCATTCACTGTCTTATTCATTATATATCATGCTCTTAATTATTTTTATTTAAAAATAAATCACCTGTGTTTTGTTAAGTTCACTGAAATTTTTACTTTTTTGTTAAAATTTTGTTCTAAATAGTCTTCTGTTCAATTACTTGTGAGAAACTTAGTAATAATTACAATTACAAAATAAATGCATCTTAGATTTTTTTTAAACAACACTTGCATAATATTTAGCATTTCATTAATAGCTCTGAAAACAATGAGGCACAAGTATTGCCAGAAATGTATTATAAGGGCCAGCTCCTGAGGTTGACAGGCATTTTAAAATGAAGGCATTGAAGCATTTGAAGACTTTTTCCATTTGTATATAGTCAGAACAAGACAATTGTTTCCCAGACATGGTTTATTTGTTGCTCGTGTTTCGTGAGCAAGTGTTTGTGTGGGCCTGACTTTCACTGTCATCTTCTTTTTCCAGATATATACCACATTTTGAAAAAAAAAAAAAAAAGCCCTTTTTGGAATTTGTTCAGTTATTCAGTTGTGTCCAGCTCTTTGTGACCCCATGGACTGTAGCATGCCAGGCTTCTCTGTCCTTCATTATCTCCCGGACTTTGCTCAAATTCATGTCCATTGAATCAGTGATGCCATCCAACCATATCATCCCCTCTTGTCCCCTTCTTCTCCTGCCTTCAATCTTCAATCTTTCCCAGCATCAGGATCTTTTCCAATGAGTCAGCTCAGGTGGCCAAAGTACTGGAGCTTCAGCTTCAGCATCAGTCCTATTTCTCGTGTTTTACTGAGTGTTATTCTTTTCAAAATTGTCATCTGGGAACAATGTCATCATTTCTGTCAGATCTGCTGGTTAAATCTTTGTGTAGGGGATAGACCTGAAACAGGATGTCTCCTACAGACCAAAGAAATTTCTCTACTGAACTTGGTCCTGCTTGAAAGGGGGATCATTTCCAACATGAGAGTATCCAAATCACATCCCCACCCCACCAGTTGCAGGGTCAATGAGTCTGTGTATTTCTGGCCCCAGAGTTATTCATCAATGATAATTTGGGAGTGCAAATGTTTACCTTCAGCTTCTTCAAGGTTTTACTTTTCTCTCAACTTTGTAATTATTATTTGAGCTCCGAGTGGTAACATGCACTCTGGCATAAAGGGGAGGTAGGGAAGTAGAGAAACAACCTGGATTAAAATTTTAGAAACAACTGTGATGCAAACAGAAGATAAGGAATAGCATTCTAAAGCTATCAGAGGGATGAGGAATGAACTCAGTTTAGACAATAGTAGGCATTTAATTGGAAAATGTTTGGTGAATGAGAAATGAAGTTTTGTGCAAGTACAATGAGTGAGTCTGTGGTTTTTTTTTTTGTTTTGTTTTGTTTTGTTTTGTTTTGCATTTTAGGAAGTGTGATGTTTTATTTCTCCTTAGTTATTAGGTTCAGTTCAGTTCAGTCACTCAGTAGGGTCTGACTCTTTGTGACTCCATGAACTCCAGCATGCCAGGCCTCCCTGTCCATCACCAACTCCCGGAGTCCATGCAAACCCATGTCCATTGAGTTGGTGATCCCATCCAACCATCTCATCTTCTGTCGTCCCCTTCTCCTCCTGCCCCCAATCCCTCCCAGCATCAGGGTCTTTTCCAATGAGTCAGGTCTTCGCATCAGATGGCCAAAGTACTGGAGTTTCAGCTTCAACATCAGTCCTTCCAATGAACACCCAGGACTGATCTCCTTTAGGATGAACTGGTTGGATTTCCTTGCTGTCCAAGGGACTCTCAAGAGTCTTCTCCAACACCACAGTTCAAAATCATCAATTCTTCAGTGTTCAGCTGTCTTTATAGTCCAACTCTCACATCCATACATGACTACTGGAAAAACCATAGCCAAACGGAGCTTTGTTGGCAAAGTAATGTCTCTGCTTTTCAATATGCTGTCTAGGTTGGTCACAACTTTCCTTCCAAGGAGTAAGCGTCTTTTAATTTCATGGCTGCAATCACCATCTGCAGTGATTTTGGAGCCCCCCAAAATAAGGTCAGCTACTGTTTCCACTGTTTCCCCATCTATCTGCTGTGAAGTGATGGGACTGAATGCCATGATCTTAGTTTCCTGAATGTTGAGTTTTAAGCCAAATTTTTCACTCTCCTCTTTCACTTTCATCAAGAGGCTCTTTAAGTCTTAATTCATTTTTGTTTTGCCCATAGTCCGAGTCCCCGGTTGGGAAAGAAGACTCCTTGAAACAATGCAACTTGCAATAGGGGAATTTATTACTGACTCGAGCCAGGGCCTCTCGCCCTCACCAAGGGTGTGAGGACGAAAGGCCCCGAGCCCCAGTTCTGTCGGGTATTTATTAGGTCAAAAAAAAGCAGCAGGTAGTTGGCGCAAGCGGATTGGTTACACAGCGGGTAGTTGGCGCAAGCGGATTGGTTACACAGCGGGTAGTTGGCGCAAGCGGATTGGTTACACAGTTGCAAGGCAATTTTTGTTGGCCCAACGTGGGGCTTTCAGCTTTCCCTTGATAGGTTCCCTTTTTTCTTGCTGGCACATGTTGATTGGCTAGCTCCAGGAGGCCTGATAATTATGTTACCCCGGGAAACCAGGCCTACTCCTAATCTAGGCTGCCTGTCATGGCGTTAGCCGTGGCAGCCTCACATTTCCCCCCTGTCTTTGTACTTTTGTAGAGGAATCTTTCTCTTCACCCTGTGAAATTGACTGATACTGTTGTCTCAATACCATAATTTGGATGGTATTTAGGCGCTCCCTGATGAATGAGACCAGACGGTGTAAAATGCATGGAGCAAAGGGCAGTAACAATGTCAATATTATGAGTGGACCAGGAGGGTGGAGATCACAGTGGGCAACCAGGGGGAGCGCCGAAACCAAGACTCAGCCCGGCCTCGTGGGCGCCTCGAGCTCTCTCCCGCTGGGCTCGTCCCTCTCTTACTTTCTGGGGAGGTTTTTGTAGAAGAGTCACCTCTCTCACATTTTTCAATGTGGTTCTGATCCTTTCTCCCTCCCGGGCAGACATAGACAGGCACCTGTTCGTTGTACTGTGGGCCTTTTCGCTCACAGTTACGGGTGAACAGACTCAAAGAGCCGTGGACAAAGGACTTGTTCAGTTGGTGGGGACCAAACCCATTACCGTCAGCCGCCAGCACGCACAAATCAGAGGTCAGTACTGGCCACCATGTCCCTTTGGGGGTCACGTTGGAGCTCGAATTAAGCACTTTTTCAGTCTCAGGATTGTAGATCACCCAAGTCAGGTTAGCTGGCTGATGGGGTTTGTGGCTGGTTGCTCCTGGGCCGATGAAGACTGTTATCAGCAGTAGAGTTAAGAGGGCTCTCGTCGTATGAGTTTCAGTTTTAAAGGATTTGAGGGGTGAGGTCTTGCCTCTCATTCTGCTTGCGCCTTTTCCTGTTCTTCCGGGGTGGCTTGCCGCACGTGATTGCAGTGAATCCAGGGCCCGATCCCGCCGACCTTAACAGCAGTACGAGTGGTAAGGAGAACAATATAAGGGCCTTTTTATCTAGGTTTTAATGCTTTAGATTGGTGTTGTTTTACCCAAACCCAATCACCCGGGCCAATATTATGTGAGGGGATGGTCCCCTTGCTTGTTCCCTCGTGTATCTCTCGAATTAAGTTCTAAACATGGCTATGTACCTTACTTAATGTCATCAGTGTTTGCTGGAATTGTCCCAAGGTAGGGGGTGGTAGGCATTTTCCCTTGAATATAGGACACACAGGAGGGGGTCTTCCATACAGAATCTCAAAAGGGGTAAGATTCAGCTTATAAGGGGTGTTATGTGCTCAAAAGAGCGCGAAGGGAAGGAGGGTCACCCAGTCCCCGCCAGTCTCTATTGCCAACTTTGTCAAAGTTTCTTTTAGGGTACGATTCATTCTCTCAACTTGTCCTGAGCTCTGGGGATTATATTCACAATGTAACTTCCATTTTGTCCCCAGAGCTTAGGCCAGCCCTTGTACAATCTGGCTCACAAAAGCAGGTCCGTTATCAGAGCCCATAGTCACTGGCAGCCCGTACCTAGGCACTATCTCTTCTAAGATTTTTTAGCAACCACTGTTGCTATTTTTCCCTTAGTGGGGAAGGCTTCTACCCACCCCGAGAAGGTATCTACCAGAACCAACAGATAGCGATACCTGTACTTGCCTGGTCTTACCTCAGTGAAATACATCTCCCAGTGTTGCCCTGGCTCTTCCCCTCGGTACCTCGTTCCAGTGTGCTGCTGCCTTTTCCCTGTCTTCATCAGCTGGCACGCTTTGCAAGCCTGGATTATCTCTCGTACTGTTGCATTTTGTCAAGGGAACCTCAGGCAGGCCGTCTGGAGAAGCGTCAAGGTCTTTTTCTCCCCCAAGTGTGTAGTTGTGTGTAGGTGTTCACATAGGTGATGACCCAGGATGGCAGGCAATGTCAGGTTTTCGAGCTGCCAGGGCCTCAGCCAGTATCTCATCGGCGGCTGCTTTAAAACCCCTTCAATGGCGTGGGGGGTGTAAACCCAGAGTTGCTGTCCATACGTCAACTTGTCAGCGTCGCGGATGAGGAGGGCAGTGGCTGCTATGATGCGGAGGCAAGGGGGCCACGCAGAGGCCACCGGGTCCAATCGCTTTAAAAGGTATGCCACCGGCCACTTCCATGGTCCCCATTGTTGCGTCAAGACCCCCTTTCCTATTCCCTGCTTTTCATCTACAAACAGCTGGAATGGCTTATTTGGGTTAGGCAAGGCAAGGGCTGGGGCTTCTAGTAGGGCCCGTCTGAGTGTCTGGAAAGCCTGTTTCATTGGCTCAGTCCAAGTCCAGTTTGGGGTCTCTTTACTTCCCTCATACAAGGGCCGGGCCTTCTCAGCAAACCCCATGATCCACAGTCTGCAATATCCAATAGTCCCCAAAAACTCTCTCACCTGGCGGGGGGTCTTGGGCTCTGGTATCTGCAATATTGTTTCCTTCATGGCCTGAGTTAGCCATCTTTGCCCCTGCCTGATCTTATACCCCAAATAGGTGACCTCTTGCCGGGATATTTGTGCCTTCTTTGCACTAGCATGATACCCCAAGGTGCCTAGAGTCTGCAAGAGGTCACCGGTGGCACGGCTGCATGCCTCCTCTGTGGTTCCAGCCAACATAAGGTCATCCACATATTGCAGCAGGATGACCTCTGGGTGGCGAGTCCGATATTCATAGAGGTCTTCACTCAAAGGCCTCATTAAACAAGGTAGGGGAGTTTTTTAACCCTTGTAGGAGGCGGGTCCAAGTTAGTTGTAATACCGGTTGGCCTTCCCCCTCAGTCCACTCAAAGGCAAATATCTCCTGGCTCTGGGCCGCGAGGGGTAGGCTGAAAAAAGCATCTTTCAAGTCCAACACAGTGTACCAAGTGTACTCAGGCAGTAAGCTGCTCAGGAGGGTATACGGGTTAGGGACAGTAGGGTGTATGTCACTCACCCGCTTGTTGACTTCTTGTAGGTCCTGGACAGGTCTGTAATTTGTACTCCCTGGCTTTTTCATTGGTAGTAAGGGGGTGTTCCAAGGGGATTGGCACCACTTGAGAATTCTGGCATCCATGAGCCGTCGAATGTGGGGAGTGATCCCCCGCCGAGCCTCCTGGCTCATAGGGTACTGTCTCACCCTCACAGGAATCGCCTCGGCTTTTAGTTCAGTGATGACCGGATGTCTCTGTTTGGCCAGTCCCATTCCTGCTGTTTCTGCCCATGCCAACGGGTATTTGTGGACCCACGGTTGTACATCTGGTGCTATGACCTCTGAGGGCTTAGGCGCAAAAAGTCTGTATTCATCTCTTAAAGCTAGAGACAAGACATGTATCGGCTGTCCAAGTCCATCCGTGACTGATATTCCCCCAGGGTCAAAATGGATCTGAGCATTAACTTTAGTCAACAAGTCCCGTCCAAGTAGAGGGGCTGGGCATTCTGGTATCACAAAAAACGAATGGGACACCTGATGGGTCCCCAGATTTACTTTCTGTTCCGTGGTCCAACAATATCTTTTTATCTCCGTGGCTCCCTGCACCAAGCTGGTTTTCTTAGACATTGGTCCCAGTTTTTGATTTAAAACAGTGTTGGGCTCCAGTGTCCACCATAAAGCCAATGGGTTTCTCTTCCACATGTATGGTTACCTAGGACTCGGGGAGGGGTGCCGAGTCTTGACTCCCCTAGTCACTGTCTTCCCCCACATATAGAACTCGAGTTCCAGGGGAAATTCTCTCTCTTCGGGTCCCTCTTAGGGCACTTATTTTTCTAGTGCCCCCGTTCTTTGCAGTAAGCGCACTGATCTTTCTTTAGGGCCTGCCTTTTTGGTCTCTTTTTTTCTTCCATCTGGGGGCCTCGAGGCTCCCTCAGTTCTGTTTCGGCCTTCATCCCCGCAAAAAGAATCTGGGCTAGCTCCCTCTGGTTCTTCCGGTTTTCCTTCGCCCTATGTTCCCTATCTTCTTTCCTGATCTTCTCAGCTAGTTCCCTTTCCTCCCGACGAAGTCGTTCCTCCCTTTCTTCTGGGGTCTCCCTATTATTAAATACCTTTTCAGCTGCTTTCAGTAAATCCTGTATTGTCTTTTCTCTCAATCCCTCTATCTTTTGTAATTTTTTCCTAACATCTGGGGCTGCCTGATTCACAAACGCTAACAGAACTGCAGCACGTGACTCCTCAGCCTGGGGGTCCATAGGTGTATATTGCCTAAAGGCTTCCATCAGCCTCTCTAGGAAGGCTGCCGGGCTCTCAGTGGACTCTTGCCTTACTAAATTTACCTTCGCCAAATTTGACGGCTTCCTAGCTGCAGCCCGCAGGCCAGCCATTAGAGTCTGGCGGTACACTCGGAGATGCTCCCTACCTTCCACTCGCTCAAAATCCCAGTTAGGCCGCAACAGAGGAAACCTCTCGTCCACGAGATGAGGCTGGGTGGTTGGTCTCCCGTCGACCCCCGGGACCCGTTTCCATGCCTCTGCCAGGATTCCCTCCCGTTCTTCCGTGGTGAAGAGCAACTGTAACAGCTGCTGACAATCATCCCAGGTGGGGTTGTGAGTGAACAAAATGGAATCTAAGAGGTCAATGAGGCCTTGGGGTTTCTCCGAAAAAGGAGGATTTTGGGTTTTCCAATTATACAGATCACTCGTGGAAAAGGGCCAGTACTGATAGGTTCACTCTCTGTCCGGGTTAGCTGGTCCCACTCGGACAGGGAGTGCCTGAACAGTAGATGAAGGTAACTCTGGGTCCCCATGATCTTGCTCACTCCTATTTCCTCTATTTCTTCTCCAGGGTCGGGGTTCCCTTATCCCTTCTGATTCATCAGGGGGGCTCTTCCCCCCGGGGGAACCTGCAACGGAGGAGGGGCATATGACGGAGGCCTAATTTCTGTCTCTAAGTCAATCAGGTTCCAGTTCGAGGATTCCTGCAAGACCGGTTTTGGGCCCTTATTCTTCTTGGCTTCCTCTGGGGGAGTGGGGGTTTCCATAACCAGGGCTTGTACATTAGGAGAATCAGGGAGTTTGTGAACAAAAGGTTTTAACCATTCGGGCGGATCTTCTATTAGATCTTGCCAGACCAATAACATATAGGACTTGGCTTGGGTGGCCCCAGGGATCATGAGCCATAACTTTCTCTTTCACCGCCCGAATAATAGAAGGTTGAAAAGTTCCCTCTGGAGGCCATCCAACTTGGAAGGTGGGCCACTCTGCAGAGCAAAAGGTTATTAATTTATTCTTTGTAACCAGTAGCGACAGATCATATGCTCTAGCCCTGACATCCGAGAAATGATCAGTCATGAGAGAGAGTGGGGTAGATTTTCTTGCCCCATAGGGAGAGTCAGAAGAAGGTCACTGAGAATTACCACCAAAAAATCCTATCGGGAGTGGTGGTGGCCAGGAGGTTGGGCTTGTGGTATGCTTCGTGGAACTATTTGAGTGCCTTAGTCATTGCACGGAAGTTTTCTTGTTGGGGGCGGGCACCCTAAGGGTTTCTAGCCCGTTCCGTGACCCCCTTATCCCTTCACGGGAGTCTTCCAGTGGCAGGCGCCCTATCGGCTCTTAAGTGCCTGTCCCGTGCCCACACAGACGGATTTTTATTTGGCCAGATTCTCAGTTTAGAATACGAGAAAAAAGAAAAGAGTTTCACCCTCTCGGGCTCCCGTTACTGGGGCTGACTTGTTGGGAGGCCTTCAGAATCCCCCAGGGAGTAGCCCTGGCCTCATCAGTTGCCCTGACAACTGTCTGCCTGTTCACTGAAACTCTCAGAAACAGAAATGAGGCTCCAAGGCTTTATAGGAGGAAGTAGACAGCGACACACCAGAGAACAACGAGACAGGAGACAATGCCGGCAGTTATACAGATGTGAAAGAGCATAAAAAAACACAGACAGACACACATCGGCCGACAACACAGAACTGGG